GGACCTCCAGTTGGCCATAATCATTGATTTTCCTTAGGTAGTTCAATGATTTTAGCGTTCTCGCCTTGTCGGGCTTCCGACTCTCCAAGACGGGTCCATATACCCCCAAGATCGCCCCAAGATCGCCAACAGGCCCGCAAGACGGCCCATGAGTTCCCCACGGCAGCCCAAGAGACCCCAAAGACGGCCACAAGGCGGCCCCAGAGACTTCCAAGACGGCCCTACGCCCAAAGAAGGACCCACGATTGCCCAGGGAGGGCCCAAGGGGGTCTCCGAAGGCCAAGAGGCTCCCAAGAGGTACCCAAGATGTCCCCAAGTGGTCCCCAACAGACCCCAGGAGGACCTTCAGGAAGCTAGAATCATTGCGTTTCTTGTTGTAGTTCAACGGTTTAAAAGTTCTCACCTCTTCGGGCTTCCGAAGCTCCCAGACGGGCCCATAGGCCCCAAGATCGTCCCAAGACGGCCCGAGAGGCCCCCCAAAGGCCCATAAGACGGCCATAAGGGCCCCAAGACGGCCCCAAAACGGCCCCAGAAACCTCCAAGACGGCCCTCTCGCGAACCCCAAGACGAGGAGGGCCCACAGAGGCCCCCAGGAGGCCCCGAGCGGTCCCCAAGAGGCCCCAGGACGCCCCCAAGAGGCCCTTGAGAGACCTCGAAAAGGTTCCTGGGAAGCCCCCAAGGAGGCCTCAAGAGGCCTCGTCTTCATCATCTTTCCTTCAGTTCATTCCTTCGTATCAATGTCGGCTCAATCGGTTCACTGCCAGTGACATAGCACGGAGACCCTTGGTGGACTGCCCTTCCCGCCTTCCTCGCGCCCGCGTGGTTGAGCTTCATATATCCTTCGCCACCGCATTCGGCATTCGCCTGCCGGTGGCTTTGATATCATCCGCAGTCGGTCGGAGCTGGTGCAGGCCCAACACTTTCACAATGGGGACCGCTGGAGGAAAAGACGAGGCCGCCAGGCAACTTGCTCTGCACGAGCCTGAGGGCAAACGTCAAGACCCGAGGGCAGCAAGTGCCAGCAAACTGCCCGCCCATGGTCTACTCGCAGACGTACGCAAGGCTTTCGAAGAAACCCCATCCAAACAAGTCAAAGAAGGTGTCACCAGATTCGAAGCCACCGCCAAGTCCGTCGCCGCCGCCGCCAATTTCCTCGAATCTCTCACATCCATCACGGCCGATCTCAGCAAGATACATAAATCCACGGAGAGCGCTATCATAAACGCGGCCGGGTACTTCAGTCCTGGAGACACAGAACTTAGAGCTTAACGCTTCAGCTGCAACATGCGAAAGCATGGTATCGCAAGCAGAAGCACGCGCACCTGCCCTCAACGTCGACAGCATCGACACAGGGAACAGGGCACCTGAACCGACAGCATTATGGTCAGCTGTTCGCAAGAGCCCGGCCAGAACGAATGGGTATACACTCGTCGACTGGTTCTGCGCCGCCAACGTCGAGACACCCCACCTCGTCTTCAATACTGTCGGCCATTCCATGCGCCACTCGTGCCAGCTCAGCGCAGGCATTATGGTGGCAAAGTCCCACGCACAACCTCTCCGCGCAGCCCAACGCATCGGGTCGGGCTGGAGAGCCTTTGCTGTTGTTGGTGATCGTGGCGTCGTTTCCTTCTGCGTGTCTGCGGACAAGACCCCGAAGATGGTCCGACGAGGAATCCAAGTCAAACGCCTCGCCAACCTCATGATCATGCAGCGCAGCATGCCGACGACGGCACCCAGCGCGCCACCAACATCGAGTTCGCCGACAGCTTCGCGGATGCCCTCACAGTTGCGCCGTGGACTTGCTACCGCTGGAGCCCAGCCCTCGCTGGAGGGCCTTGACATCGCATGCTGGAACGCGCGAGCTCTCCCTGAACGGTCTGGACAGTGCCGCGACGACAAACGCCGTCTCCTTCTCCCGCACGTTCGCCAACGAGCCTTGCTGGCTCTCGGAGAAACGCACGACACGATGCTCGCCAGCTCGCCAGCTCGACGCAGCACTCCTACAAGCGGCTCCACTCACCGACGCGGGCGGCATCGGCTTCCCCGCGTCATTCGATAAGCGCGAGTTCCAGGTCACGCCAGAACAACGGCCTCAACACAAGCTTGACATCGCCATCCTTGGCCGCGCCGCTTGGCTGCGCGCCGCGGATGCCAGCCTTCAACGCGACATCGCTATTCTCAATATCCACAACCACGATATCTCTTGCTGCTTGTTCGCTACCACACGCAGAGTGGATCGCTCTCCGTGCATGCGGAGACGAGCTTCCACAGCAGCGGCTGCTCACGATCGTTGGTGACTTGAACGTCTCGGAGATCCCGCCCGGGTCCATCGACGCCTCGGGTCTACTCGGACGCCGCGGCCGCGCAGAGGTACCAGTACCGGTACCACGCCACTGGCGCACCTTGGTCCGCGACGTCATCGAGTTGCAACGACCTCGACCACGCGCAGATCCGAGGCCACAATCGACCGATGCTTCGTCAACTTGCCCAGCCACCTGATGCCGATGGTGGAGACAGTGCACATCGCCGCTCGAGAGCTAGAAGGGCCCCATCAGCGACCGCAAGACCGTGCGCCCGAGCATCCGCCTGCGCGAGCCTAAACCTCCACGCGAACGCGGCATCCCAACATGCATTTTCGACGCTGCCCACTGCGACCCCCGCGTCGAGCGTGCCCTCGACTCGATAGACACGACGCCACTGAACCCAACTCGAAATGGGGGGCGTTGAAGGCGACGACGCAAGTTGCCGCTGCAGAGTCCCACGACGCGCGGACCCAGATTCCCGACGCCGAGTTGGCATCGCAATCTTTCGCTCTCTCACGGGAAACGCGCGCCATGACCCTCCGCGGAATCGCCGCGGCGATCTGGCGCCAGGCCACCGCCCTCGCCAAGTTTGCGATCCGCCACGCGGCCGCGGGGACGCATCACCCGAGCATCGCAGGCGACGGGGCCCCCCTCGAAAGCGTGGCCGGCATCGCCGCCGCCACGAGTGCCGCGCGCGCCGACCTCGGCAATGAGCGGAAGGCGAAGGCGCCTGCACGCTCGCGCGCCGCCTGCTTTGCCAACAGCGTCGCCCTCGGCCCGAAGTGGCGGCGGCGGGCCCGGCGGGAAGGACAGCGAGGCGAGCTCTGAGACCCTCCCTCAAAACGCTTAGTCCTCGCCGGGGTCTAGGCGATCGCAGGCCCCGCATCCAGCGTCGCCACCGACCCCGCCGCGATGCGCCAGGCCATCGTGCAGCGCTGGGCCCCCGCATTCGCTCGACGCCAACTGCGCGACCGAGGGCCTGGACCCCGTTGCCCCCTGGCGCCCGCTCGCCGACCTGGACCTCCCCGGCGCGGGGGCGCTCAGGAATGCCGCGCGCCTCGCGGGCGACTCGGCCTCGGGGCCCAGCGGTCTCCCCCACCGCGCAGTTTCGGCATCCTCGCCGAGGTTGGCTTCGACACTGCTGTCGACGGCAGCATCCCGCGTGATCTCAACAGCTCCCTCATGGCCACGCAGAGGGGACGAGCCGCTCGGCAACGCGGAGCGCGCGCGCGCGCCCCTGATTGCCTCCGCCCGCCATCGATGAAGAGCGCCGAAGCCATTGGCATCAGCAGCCATCCGTCGGCTCCATCAGTTTGTGCCCAGACGGCCCCCGAGCAACAGGGTTTCGTCAACGGCCGCCAGCTCTGGACCGATGTAGTCACCGTCGACGCTGAGGCTCGTCGGCTCAGCGTCTCTCCTCCCGCGGCGGACACCGACATGCCCGTCTTCGTCAGCGCGGGCATCGCGGCGGCCTTCCCCAGCCTTGGCGACCAGTGGATGCGGGATACGCTCGAAAGATGGGGCATCCATGGCATAATGATGTAGCTGCTGCAGGCTTGCTATCGCTGGCCCGTCGCGCGCTGAACATGGAAGATGCGCGTCGCCACCTGTGAGCTGCAGCATCGAATGTTGCGCAAGGATGTCCCGTGAGCGGCGCCATACGGGCACTCGTCCTCGACGCTTTCATCATCGCTATCGGCCGCGAGCTCCTGCAGATCGGGCGGCCTTTTCAGCAGCTGCGCCGACGACTTTGGAATCCTCCTTTCCAGACTCCACGACATCGGCAAGCTCGCTCCTCACATATTCGCCGCCGGGTTGCTCGCTGGCCTGCGCCTGCAGGCCAGGGAGCGCATCGGCGTTCCGGCATGGGCTCTCCCATCTCAGGATCTGATTTCCGAGATGCGCCAGGTCCCAGACGGCAGAAGACGGCGACACACGGCCGTAAATTTGCAGTTGCGACCCCAGGCGCGCTTCAAGAGGCCCTGGAGAATCCGAAGATTACCCAGGAGCGCTCAAAGAGCCCTCAAGATAGCTTCCGGACGGCCCCAGAGGCACCCAAGATGCTTCAAGAGGCCCTCAAAAAGAACCCGAAGACGCGAAAATCATTCCATTCTTTCGGGAGAACGTGCGTCTTTTGCCTGCTCCGTTCATGGTCTTCACGGCGTCCACGACGGCCAAAGAGGCCCCAAGATCGGCCCAAGACTGCCCAGGAGGGGACCCCAAGAGAGCCCGCTGACAGCCCAAGAGGGCTCTAAGATAGTGTAAGAGAGCCCCACGGCAGCCCAAGAGAGGCCCCAGGGGGCTCCAAAAGGCTACCAAGAGAACTTCAAGATCCGCCCAAGATTGCCTAAGAGGCGCCCAAGCGCCTGAAGACATCCCAAGAAAGGCCCGCCCCAGATGGCTGGGGCTCCCAATAGAACCCTGAGAGCGCCACAGAAGGCCCCCAAGAGGGCCCAACAGATCACCCAGAGCGCACAAGAAGGCCCCAACCCCACAAGACGGCTCAAGAGGGCCCTCGGCTCCAGAGGGCTGCAAAGGGCTCCCGAGAGAACCCCAAGAGCGCAACAGACGGCCCCCAACAGGATCCAACAGATCCGTCAGAGCGCCCCCCGAGACGGCCCCAGCTCCACGAGACGGCCCAAGAGGGCCATCGGCAGCCCAGATGGGCCCGAATCCTTTCTCGCTCTGCTTCACTCTCATTTCTCTCTTCCCCGTTCCGTGCCTGCTTACCCTCTTCTGGAATCCCGTCGAGGCTTCAACCAGGCAAGGCTTCACGCAGGGAACGGGCAACGCGGGAAGAGCGAACATGCGACTCTTTGTGTCCAGCTCCGCTCTGACGACTCCCTGCTTCGCAAGCCATGCCCACCGCAAGGGGACCCTGAGAAGCTCCACTGGACTTTCGAGCGCCTCATGCGCAGCCCACAGGCTCCCCGGAGGCCCCAGAACGGCCCCGCTTCGCACGTGCCCAATGTGCGGTCCAGAGGCGCAGCCGCACAGACAATGCCACTGGGCGGCCACAGTGATTACACGAGCTTCCAAGGCAGCTTTCCACACGGCCATGAGCGGCCCACGTCGGCCCTCAAATGGAATCGCACAGCGCGGGGACGCACAATGCTCGAAGGTCGGGGTTCGGGGCTCTGCTAACAGGTTCTCACGACGAGAAGATCGGGTTGACCCAAAAGGGGGTCCAGCGACAAGGGGGTGGTGCAAGTTGGTGCAATAGATTTGTGGGGTTGCAGTACCTTTGGGGCGTGCAATACATTCCCGGGCGCAAGTGTATTGCTGGATTTGCGCGTGCACCACATTCATCGCAATACAATGCAATACAATTCTGCGGCGCACTACATTTGCAACACAATTGCCCCAAAGCTGTTGCACCACCCCCTTCCAGCTGGACCCCCCCTTGGGTCGACCGAAGAAGAGGTGGGGGATAGTGCTCGGCATCCGCCGGCATGCTGCCTTCACTCTGCGGCCCTGGAGGCCCCGATCCCCCTCCCTGGGGCAGCTCGTCGTCCCTGATTCCTTGTTGACGGCTCCGGGGCCCAGGGCCGAAGCCAAGGAAACACACTCGGAGGAGGAGGAGGAAGGGGAGAAGGAGGACGAGGACGAGGACGAGGAGGAGGAGGAGGAGGAGGAGGAGGAGGACGAGGAGGACGAGGAGGAGGAGGAGGACGAGGAGGAGGAGGAGGAAGAAGAAGAGGAGGAGGAGGAGGACGAGGAGAACTGCCCTGACACGCCCGTGTTGAGACGCAACATGCACCGTGCTCAGAGCGTCCGTGTGAACACGCTGCGTGCTTGGCCCGTCACGCGTCGGCCCACGTTCTGGCGAACGCGTCGCGCCAGGCCTGCGTGTTCGGTCTGCGTGTGGAGCTCCGTGTCGGCACGCGCCACGCTGCGGGCTGCTGCTGGGGCCGTCGGCAGGCCCCCCTCGGAGACCTCCCATAGAGAAAGAAAGAAAGAGAGAGAGAGAGAGAGAGAGAGAGAGAGAGAGCGGACGCCAGCGGCCAGCCCTCCGCATGCGACCGCAGGCGCCCGCCGCGGAGGGCGGCGAGCCCGAGCCCGCGGCACCCGCCTGAGCTCGAGGCCTGAGCTCGAGCGCGTGCCGCGCCGGCGGTCCGGGGCGGGGCACTTCTCCGCCGGGCCGGGGCATCAGTTCGACGACTCCGACCCCTCGGCCCGAGTGCGATCGACGCCGGTCCCGAGGCGGTTCGGCCCAGGATGCCGGTCTGGGTGCTCGGGTTTCTCGGTGGAGGCCTTCCTGGCTCGCCGGTTTCGCCGGTCCGTCTTCTCCTGGCGTGGCTGCCGGCCTCCAGGGAGGGGCTGGCATCCGAGGGGTCGAGGGAGTTGGTGACCTCGATCCCTCGAGGAGATTCGGAAGCCTAGAATCAGGAGGGAAAAAAACACACAGACACAATTAATCGTCGACTCCCCAGAAAATATGGGAAAATATGAAAAGCGGGGGGGGAGACAGAAACCCGGAAAATATTGGAAAGTATGGGGAATCTAGTTAGTTGTGTATATTTATTTGTGTGTCCCAGGGCCCCTTCATGGAAGTGGACACCAACACCAGCATCGGCGGTGTGCCTCCACCGGGGGAAGATGCTCCCGATCTCGGCGATGGTGGTCATACGCGGGCTTCCTAGGTGGACGAAAGATGGCCACCGGCACCAAAATCTAGGATCACCTTCTCCCGTTGGAGGCACCCCCTGTGTTGGTGTTGGCGCCCAGTTACGGGCCTCCACGAGATGCTCGAAGCGATGCCAAGTGGCCTCTCTTCGAGGGGAGGGGTGCCCGTTTGGCATCTCCTCGCCGGCGGAAGGCCGGCGGCAGGCAGCGGAATTGAGGCGGCGGGGGCTCCGCGCGGGCGGGGGGCTGGCGGAGGCCAGCGAACGGGTGCGCGCGAACGGAAATGACTTGTCGAGGGGGTGCGACGCTCGGGCAGACGCCAAGGGCGCCCTGATCTCGGTAGGAAGGGCGCTGCTCGGAGCACTGGAGAGGGTCGCCCACGCGAGTCTGGGCAGCAGCCTTCACCAGTTGCCTCTAATTGACGACATGGGCATCTGCCTCGCCTTCAGTCTCTGCCGCTGCCGCTGCGGAAGTGTTGCGCTGCTTGCGCTCACCGCGCGCTTCTGCCGCCGTGCCTGGCCGAGAACGCAAAGTGCCACACCCCGTGGACAATTACCCGACGAAGTGAAGAGCTCGGGCGAGGGATCTCGCCTGCTGGCGCCTGGTGGGGGAGGCTGGCAAGACGCTGGCTTCCTCCTCGACGGCCTCGTGGGCCGCCCCCGTGAAGAGCGGCGAGAGGTCGCCGGTTTGCGGGCGCGGTGGCGTCGACCGACAAGCAACGCGAGCCCGACAGTGTTTTTCCCAGCCATCCTGAGGTGTTGCGTCCTCGTTTTGAAGATACGATCCCCGCGTTCCTCCTCCCTCCTGCCTTCCTCCCTCCTCCCCCCCTCTCCCTGCGTTTCACGCACCCAATACAGCGCTTCGTGGCCCCATAGGGAGCTCCACCGAAGGCGCCAGTGCCACCGTCCGCACGAGTCCCAGAACATCCAATTTGGCATTTTCACTCACCCAGTACAGCGTTTCGTGGCCCCATAAGGAGCTCCACCGAAGGCGCCACCGTCCGCATGCGTCCCGGAACATCCAATTTGACATTTTCGCCCACTCAGTACAGCGCTTCGTGGCCCCATAGGGAGCTCCACCGAAGGCTCCAGTGCCACTGTCCGCACGCGTTCCGGAACATCCAATTTGGCATTCTCACCCACCCAGTACAACGTTTCGTGGCCCCACAGGGAGCTCCACCGAAGGCGCCAGTGCCACTGTCCGCATGCGCTCCGAAACATCCAATTTAGCATTTTCACCCACCCAGTGCAGCGCTTCGTGGCAGGGGACTCCACCAGAGGCACCAGTGCCATCGTCCGCACGCGTCCCAGAACATCCAATTTGGCATTTTCACCCACCCAGTGCAGCGCTTCGTGGTCCCATAGGGAGCTCCACCGAAGTCACCAAGTGCCACCGTCAGCATGCGTCCTGGAACATCCAATTGGGCATTTTCAACCACCCAGTGCAGCGTTTCGTGGCCCCACAGGGAGCTCCACCGAAGGCCCCAATGCCACTGTCCGCGCGCGTTCCGAAACATCCAAATTGGCATTTTCACCCACCCAGTGCAGCGCTTCGTGGCCCCATAGAGAGCCCCACCGAAGGCCCCAATGCCACCGCCCACATGCGCCCCAAACATCCAATTTGGCATTTTCACCCACCCAGTACATCGCATCGTGGCAACATAGGGAGCTCCACCGAAGGCCTCAGTGCCACCGTCCGCATGCGTCCCGGAACATCCAATTTGGCATTTTCACCCACCAGGTGCAGCGCTTCGTGGCCCCACAGGGAGCTCCACCGAAGGCTCCAGGACCACCGTCCGCACGCGTTCCGAAACATCCAATTTGGCATATTCACCCACCCAGTACAGCGCTTCGTGGCCCCAGGGAGCTCCACCGAAGGCCCCCGTGACACTGTCCGCACGCGTTCCGGAACATCCAATTTGGCATTTTCACGCCCCCTGTACAACGTTTCGTGGCCTCACAGGGAGCTCCACCGAAGGCCCCAGTGCCACTGTCCGCACGCGCTCCGAAACATCCATATTAGCATTTTCACCCACCCAGTGCAGCGCTTCATGGCCCCATAGGGAGCTCCACCGAAGGCCCCAGCGCCACCGTCCGCATACGTGCCGAAACATCCACTTTGGCATTTTCACTCCCCCTGTACAGCGTTTCGTGGCCCCATAAAAAGCTCCACCGACGGCCCCAGCGCCACCGTCTGCACGCGTCCCGAAACATCCACCTTGGCATTTTCACCTACCCATTGCAGCGCTTCGTGGCCCCATAGGGAGCTCCACCGAAGGCCTCAGTGCCACCGTCCGCGTGCGTCCGGGAGCATCCAATTTGGCATTGTCACCCACCGACTACAGCGCTTCGTGGCCCCATAGGGAGCTCCACCGAAGCCCCCGGTGCCACCGCCCGCAAGTGCCCCGAAACATCCAATTTGGCATTTTCACCCACCCAGAAAAGCGCTTCGTGGCAACATAGGGAGCTCCACCGAAGGCCCCAGCGCCACCGTCTGCACGCGTCCTGGAAAATCCAATTTGGCATTTTCACCCACCCAGTACAGCGCTTCGTGGCCACATACATCGGTAAGGAGCTCCACCGAAGGCGCCAGTGCCACCGTCCCCATGCGTCCCGGAACATCCAATTTGGCATTTTCACCCACCTAGTACAGCGCTTCGTGGCCCCATAGGGAGCTCCACCGGAGGCACCAGTGACACCGTCCGCATGCGCCCCTGAACATCCAATTTGGCATTTTCACTCCCCCAGTACAGCGTTTCGTGGTCCCACAGGGGGCTCCACCGAAGGCGCCAGTGCTACCGTCCGCATGCGTCCGGGAACATCCAATTTGGCATTTTCATTCACCCAGTACAAGCGCTTCGTGGCAGGGAACACCAGAGGCACCAGTGCCATCGTCCGAACGCGTCCCGGAACATCCAATTTGGCATTTTCACCCACCCAGAAAAGCACTTCGTGGTCCCATACGGAGCTCCACCAACGGCCCCAGTGCCACCGTCCGCGCGCGTTCCGAAACATCCAAATTGGCATTTTCACCCACCCAGCGCAGCGCTTCGTGGCCCCATAGAGAGCCCCACCGAAGGCCCCAATGCCACCGCCCACATGCGCCCCAAAACATCAAACTGTCCCAGTGCGACCCTACCTAGGAGTTGGAGCATTTAGGAAAGCAACATCTACATCTACACCGACAGCTACATTTACATCTACACCTGCATCTACATCTACATTAACATCAACAGCGAGACTCACATCTACATCTACACCTACATCTACACCTACATCTGCATCTACATCTACATCTACATAAACATAAACATATACAATACATATACATATACATATACACCTACATCCACATCTACACCTACACCTACATCTACATATACATCTATACTTTCGCATTGGTTTTGCTTTTGCATTGTCTTTGCTTTTGCTCTTGCCTTTGCTTTGCCGTTGCCTTTGCTTTTGCTGTTGTTGTTGCTGTTGCTGTTGCTTTCGCTTTTGCTTTTGCTTGATTTCGTTTTTGCTTTGCCTGCTGTTCAGCACTGCAGGTCCGGCTTTGCGTTGCTTGTGCTTTGCTTTGCTGTTGCTGTTTTTGTTTTGCCTTTGTTTTGCTGCTATTGTATGCTATGCTATGCTGCCCTGTGCTATGCTATGCTACGCTATGCTGTGCTGTGCTATGTTATGCTATGCTATGCTAGGGTACGCTCGGCTGCGCTGTGTTATGCTAGGTTATGCTATGCTATGCTGTGCTGCGCTTTGCTATGCTTCTATGCTGCGCTGTGTTATGCTATGCTATACAATGCTATGCTAGGTTATGATATGATATGCTATGCTGCGCTATGCTATGGTATGCTATGTTATGCTATGCTATACTATGGTATGCTGCGCTATGCTGTGCTATGCTATGCTATGCTGCGCTGTGCTGTGCTAAGCAATGCTATGCTGTGCTGTGCTATGCTATGCTGCGCCATGCTATGCTATGACATACTATGATATGATGAGCTGTGTTATGCTATCCTATGCTTGGCTATGCTATGCTATGTTGTGCGAATGCTGCGCTAAGTTAAGTTAAGGTAAGCTAAGCTATGCTAAGCTAGGTTAGGCTAGGCTAAGCTAAGCTAAGCCAAGCTAAACTAAGCTAAAATAAGCTAAGCTAAGATAAGATAAGTTAAGCTAGGCTAGGCTAGGTTAGGCAAAGCTATGCTAAGCTAAGATGAGATAAGCTAAGCTAAGCTAAGCTTGGCTAGGCTAAGCTGAGCCAAGCTAAGGTTAGCTAAGGTTAGCTAAGCTAAGCTGGGTGAGCCCAGGGGACGTAACTGGGGGAACCGCGGGGCGGATACTGGGGGAACCGCCCGGGGCGCCTTCCACTGCCCGGCCCCTTTAAGCCCAGAGAGTAAGAACCTTACTAGGCAGAGCCTACGTAGGGAATTTTGCATTTTCACCCACCCAGGACAGCGCTTCGCGGCAACATAGGGAGCTCCAGCGAAG